ATAAATACATGAGGATAGAGACACAAATTAAGGGCAAAAAATTCTTACCTTGCTTTTGTCTTTGGGACTGTATCCCATCATGTGGGCACAAGGTCACAGTTGGACTTGGAGGCCCACTCGCCTCCGACAAAGAAGAACTTCTTTTTCCATTTATGAAGGTTGGACGTAAGCCTACCGATAAACTTGCCTGACCTTGGGGTGAAGCGGTACCACCCCCAGTGAGGAGTAAAAATTTCCGCCAGTGTATATGTAGCCAGAAACTCTTCGAACGGTGAAGGGACGGTAGCATCATGCACCAATCGTCACAAGGCAAAGAACGCCGAAATCACCCTCCAACCATTAGGAGCCAGTCTCCCTGGAACCAAAGACAAGTGCCCGAGAACCCAACATATAGGTTCGGGGATAGAGAACCGAAGGCCCGCTTCCAACATGCCCTCGTAAATGACAATCTCACCCAAGGAATCACAACATGCAGACTCATCGGCCTCAGCGCGACGGTAAGTCACACATGGTGGAATACGATATGATAAAACTATTTCGATAATATCTTCATCATAGTCAAGCAAGCTAAGTATATAAGCTCCCTCCAGCATTTGGACCTCCGTCGGAGTCCCGAGAAGTCTCCCTCTTGCCTGGATGAATATCCGCAAAAGCAAGTTTAGGCCGTAGCTCAAGAAAATAATTATGACAACGAAGGAGTAAAAAGAATACTACAACATACCTTGAGAGCTAGTCCCATGCAGATCGGTGATCGATCACTTTCTGGACTCGCAAAAGGGGGACTGCACTATGCCTAGGGTGTCTATCGAAGAGCCTGTGGCACCACCCTGCCCAGGACAGACACCCTATGTCTTCTTTGAAAATTCACTCCGCTGCCCACCTGTGTCTAGGGTCCCTCTCGATGCACCAAAAGGATTAATTGAAACCTCTTCGCTCGTGCCAAATCTCGCACTGGTAGTTCCGAAGGGTCACTCTCCAGCTGTCGAGGCCACACCAAAACCAGTGCCAGGAGGGAGACCCAAGCGTCCAAAGCCTGAAGGGGTGTTGCCCAAGCCCCTGGCGCCACCCATGGCCCTTGCTCTCCTTTTGCTTTGCTCAAGCACTCCAACTTCATTGCCTACACTACGAAGGACTCCACCCGAAGCTTGGGCGCCGCCCGCCTGGACTTGGATGGGTGTCTGCGTCGTTCTCCCCAAATCACTGCTTAGAACTGCCCCATGGGCGCCGCCCAGGCTAGCCTCTCCGTCTTCTCCACCTTTCGAGTTCCTTGTCTTCATGTTGTTCAGAGAGAGAAATGGAAGAGGAGAAAGAAACAAGAGAGAATGAATGAACAATAGTTCTTGGAGGCCTATTTATAGAAGAAGAATGGTTTCTCAAGGAAGCCTTGCAAAAGCTTCTTGAAGAAGCTTGGTGTGAAGCTTCTTAAGAAAGCTTGACTGGACAACTTCTTGAAGAAGCTTGGAGGAGGCAGCCTTTGGACAGAACAATTAGAGAAGAAGGGAGAAGAATGAGCAAGACATGAACAATGACCTCTATTTATAGACGAGGATATAAAAAAAAAAATTCGATCGATTTCACTGAGTTGTGCTAAAAACTCAAATTCAGAAGGATAGAAGCATTTTTTAAGAAAATTAGCTGATCGAAGTTTTGGCTGAAAAAATACCCAAATTCAAAAAAAAATCGCCTTAAACGGACTCCCGTGCGTGAAGTTATGGCCGTTCAAAGTTTTGCCAGATTTTCAATGCTCCAGTAGTCCCTCTCGCCCATGGGCGCCTACCTCATTGCCTTGGGCGCCCACCTCAGCCACATGGACGCCGCCCAAAGCACCTCCATGGGAGTCTCCTATGATATCAAGGGCGTGGACTCCTTCTCCCTCCTTTGCTCCGCAGTTATTTGAACTCCTAGTTCCCATGAACTTGTTATGGTACCGAAGGAAATACAAGAAAAAAAAATCCGACTTACTCCGGAGAAGTTGTAGCACATGCCCACAATCCCTTCCTCTCACCGAAAGTCAGAGGTTTGGGGCATGGGGGGCAAATAATGAGCCTGAATTTTACTGGGCTAGACTCAATTCAAATAAACCAAGAAAGCCCAATCAGATGGGTTAACCCATTAAAGGAGATCCAGAGCACCCCAATGCCCAGAACAGAGGAACGAAGAGGCCAAGACACTACCCATTAGACCATTGAGCGCCACCTAGGCAAGCCCTTGGGCGCCTGCTCCTCTTTGCTTCGTTGTTCCAATGCAAGTCCAGAATCAATCCGAGTCCAAGCCAAGCCTACTCAAGACAAGTCCAAGTCCAAGACGAGGGTCAAGCTCAATCCAAATAATGTTCTCCTCCGGATGAATAGGAGCACGAGGGAAGATAATATGGAGATTGACATAAAAGATCTCCTACCATAACAATACTTGTCAAAGCAATAGAATTCTTCTCCCTCACATCACCACCTTTGTTACATTACCCTAACTATATAATGTAAGCCATCTCAACATTGAGGGCAAAGGCCTCCAAAACCTCTACATCCACTCTAATACACACTGCTCTCTCTTATTCTCCCTAAAAGTATTGTAACTCTCCGGAGTACCATTACTCATCAATAAAGAACACCGGCCACCGCTACCATTCCCAAAAGTGGGGTAGGTCAATCGAGACCGAACCACTATAAATCTCTGAGTTCTTATTTACTGATTTTTCCATTGATTGCTTGTTGTTCATTGATTGCACCTATTCACCTTCTTGACTGTTGATTTTGCACAAGACAATTTTGTGCATCATCAGGACCTAATTTACTAACCTAAATTACTGACCTAATTCACTATGACCTTTGGATTAACTGTGAGCTCCATCAAACATTAGAACTTGGTGTTTATCCAATGATTCCAATAAATACATGTCATTAGATTAGCAAATTATGTCAGATTTTTATATCCAAATAATATATTTCTTGTTTTAAATTTTCTATTATTGTTGTAAATTTAACCACTATTGTGATAATTTTGCTCATTACTGTTATAAATTTTTCACTAATATTGTAAATTTTTTATGGATGTAATTTTTTAAACTATTGTGGTAATTTTGTCCATTATAATTGTAAACTTTTTACTAATATTGTAATTTTATCCTCAATTAATAGGGTGACAATTTTTCGGCATGAAATATTTTGGTACCGTAGTCTAATCTTAAAGAGGAGATGCCCTGACCAAAAAAACAATAATAATTTTATGTGTACCAAAAATGTGCACCAAGTGATTGAGAGCCTTTGAATGATAGTGAATTCCATTGATCTAAAGGCCGAAGATGATTTGTTATATATTTTTTGTAAGGGTATAATTTCGGTAGGCCAACCCGAATTCAATTCAAAAAAATAGGTTTGGATTGAGGTTTTTAATATTTAGGTTAAGTTTGGGCTAAAAAACACTAATCCGAATTAAATTCGAACAGTACTCGGATTGAATCTTCGGGTTATCGAGTTCAACCTGAATATTGAATCGCTTCAACCTTAACATATTTAAAAATAAATATATAAATTAATAGCAATATAACTTACAACCAGGTCTGCATGCATATATTTTTCAAGTGCAAATTTTTTTTTTAGATTTTGATTTCATTTTTAATTTCAGATTTTTTCAAATGTAAAATTTAATTTGTTGATTTTGATTTCATTTTGATTTCCAGATTTTTTTTCAAATTTAAAATTTCATTTTCAACCCAATCTAAATTAAGTACCCAAATTCAACCCGAAATTTGCTCGAATAAAGTAACCTAAATTCAATTTGAACCCACCCCGAATTCAACTTGGGTAGTACTCCGGTTGAGTCAGATTATAATTAATGTTAGAGTTAAAGATTATATACTTAAAATTAGATTAGGGTTAACCCCTCAACCCGCACAACTATACAAGTTGCACCACTAATTTTTTTTTTGTGCATAAAAAAAAAGAAGAGAGAATTACACACAGACCCCCTGAGATTTGTCATTTAATTACTTACACCCCTGACATTTAAAATATTACACACAGACTCTCTCAAGTTTGTACGCACGTAACATTTAGACCCTTACTATAAATACGTCCGTTAATAAATTACACTAAAACCCTTTGAAGTTGTAAATATATATTATTTAGACCGCTTAAGTTTAAAATATTATACCTAAATAAAAAATAATTCAATCAAAGATAAAATGTCAAATATTTTAAATTTTACAATTAAAATTAATGTTATATTTTATTATTTATTGAAATAAAATTAAAAATAAAAATTTAATTTTTTCTTAAAAAATCATAATTAGTATACAATTATATGTCTATTAGAATTTAATTTGGTCGATTAAACGACTAAATTAAAATACCAAACTACTCTAATTAAAACTAAAAGATTTTGTGTCCATTATAGTTTGACGCTTTGTTAAATTTTTTAGGTTTATTTTAATAGATAGTATAATTATATATTAATTATGATTTTTTATTAGATTTTTATGTTTAATTTTATTTCAATAAATGACATAATAGAGCATATATTTTAGGTATAAAATTTATATTATATTATAAATGACTTAGACCCCATGTTTAATTTTTTAGTTTTATCTTATTAGATAGTATAATTGTATACTAATTACGATTTTTTTATAATTTATTTTAATAAATGATACAATAAAATATAAATTTTGGTTATAAAATTTAAAATATTTAATATTTTATATATAATTAAATTATTTTTTGTCTAAGTTCAATGTTTTAAACTTAAAAAGTTTAAGTATTTATATTTACAAACTTCTGGGAGTTTAACTATAATTTATTAAAAGATATATTTACAATGATCTAAATGTTATGCACATACAAACTTTAAAAGATCTGTATGTAATATTTAAAAGATCTGTATGTAATATTTTAAATATCAGGCCGATTAAGTGACAAATCTCTCAAAAAAAAAAAAAAAAAAAAAACAAAAAGGAAATGTAAAAACTTCGGATCCACGTAATCCAACAAATCGAACGAGGCCGTTCTCAAAGCTTTGGCACCTGTTACTATCCATCAAAACTGAAAACTTCAATGTAATAAAACTCGCTAAACGGTTGACAACAATTTGGTCTTTGGCATCACCGGTGAAGTGTCAGCATTCAATGAAAGAGCTTTGAAACTACGCCATTTACTGTACTGGGTCGTCTCTTCTTCAGCTCCAAGAGAACCTCCAAAGTCTACATATTTTGGACTTGTATATCTGAGCTTTTCTTGTGTTGTTTTGCCTGAAGGAATTTTGGGTATTGTTCTGGGTGATGGGCTGGCGGTACAAAGCTGGGTTGGGGTTGATTGGAGTCGTGGTGCTCATATGGGTTACTTCTGCAGAGATTACTCAGGTTAGAATTTAATTTTCTCATTCTTTTATGTGTGTAATTTACGAAAATGTCTCTGTTTCCTTATTCTTGAATAGTGATTTTGGTTGTTTTCTTAGTCCATGGGTTGGCACACCTGAGAGATGATTGATATATTGATTTTAGCATGCATATTTGCCTAAAGGGCGAATAAATATATAGATTTTTTTTTTTGAAAAAAAAAATTCAAAAAATTTACAAATTTTTCTCATGTGAATATGTATTTGGAACTTGGGTTTTTGGGGTGGGGGAGTATTTGTAATATTTTGGTGGGTTTCATCCGTGGACAGATGCAAGGTTCTGTGGAATCACGTGTTTATGTGTGGGGTTTAATCTCCCATGATCATTTTGTACTGTTTGTACTTCCAGCGGATTGAGTTTATGGCATGCGCTTAACAGCCATATCTTTGGGGATAATACGGTTTGATCTTTGGGGGACTAAAAGTTGTGCTAACGCAGCTATGATGTGTTGACACCAGATTCCTTATTCGTGTGACTTTACATTTGTGATGGGCATGATGTTGTGGTCCTAAATTCGTGCAGATCTTAGGTATTCAAAAATAAGGGATATATTGCTAGTAATCCACAGTCCACACTGATCCATTCCAAACACGATTTGGCTGGTTTTTCTAACCTGAAGAATAGAACACAACTTTTAATTTTAACCAAACCGACAACAATACATAGTTCTCCAATCTTGTCGAGTAGAATCCATTAACTACTGTTAAGTTAAAATCCAATGCAAGGGTTGGGATAGAAAGTGCACTGCAAAAGGACACATAATGGATGGGCCCAAGGCCTAATTGCCTTGACTTTTTGTTATGTTGGGTTTCAGAGATGTTTATTTGGTCTTTGATGCTGCCGAGTCTTCACACCAAGTGGCATCAAAGCTGATGATTGACAATTTCCTGTGAAGTCTTTGGGCGGGAATGATGACTTTGGAATAAAATTTCGAGTAAAATGGTAGCTTTTTGGAGTTGGAGTCATAGTAAAAGTATAGACACAGATTAGAGGGCTCTCGATAGCATTAGGTGCAAAGCTTGGGTAACACGATGACACAAGAAGTGTTACAGAAAAGCATTGTTCTTCAAAGAGCAGAGTAACTATGCATGATAGGGTACGAGGCTAGTCGAGCCGAGAGTTCAGAATTACACTTAAAGCGGAGTTGAAGTCGATGCAATTTACAAATGAGGGGGAGATTTTTCAAGTGTGAGACTTATGTCCTACTTTGAATGCACAGTGGGGTAAGGTAGACTGCCATACATGGATGGACCCAAGACCCAACGTTTTAAGCTTTTAAATCAAGTTCGGTTTGAAACATTCTTATTTGGTCTTTGGTGTCTCTTAGTCTTCCCAAATATGTCTCAAACTGGGGTTTTGTTGCAAAGGCTTTATGAGGTTTCTACAATGACAATGATCATCCATGTTTAATAGTTAATCAGTTTGGTTTCTGTGTATGTTACACTTTTGGAATGCCCTCACTGTACTAATTATTCTTCTAAGGTGTATTTCTTTTCTAAAATGTGATAAGGCAGGATTACATAGTCCATTTTGATTGGACAAAGCATGACATCATGATGCTACGGCACGCAATGCCGCCTCCAAAACAGAAGCAAAAAATGCCCACTGGTCCCCAGAAACAAAGACACCTATTATATTTTGCCTTCCATCAACAATCGTTGAACTTCCTCAAATACAGAGATAAAACTATTTCTTTTGTCTAAAATAGAGGTCAAGTTTGATAGTTTGATTTGTTTATTCTGGCAGAGATTGTTTAAATACTAGAATCTAAGTAAAAGTTGATAGAAAGAAGGAAATCATTAGGCTGCAAGCAATACAACTCAAAATGCATTAAACAGGCCAAGGAGCACGAAAAGGACAAAATTCAACCTGGTAGGAACTTGTGGTTGTGTCTGTCATGGTTTTTTGGTTTTTTTTTTTTTTTTTGGGGGGGGGGGGGGTTCTGTGTCCTTGTCCAAGATGAAATATTTCTGTTGAAACATGCTGGAAAAAACAAGTTAGAAACTTTGGCATCAAGAAGTTTTGAAGCACTTGGAATGTGCTTATTGATGTGTCTATTACTCTCTGAGTCCACGTTTGGCTGCCAAACCTATTTCTAAGACTGGCATCAATCGGTTCGGGTTAGGGTTTTGCCATGCTAGTTAATGCTCATGTATAGGCTTTGGATTGAGATAGTGGTGTTCAAAGGATGAAATGGGGTGCTTATGGAAGTTAAAGTTCAAGGCCATTCTGGGGTCTTTTTTTCTATTTCTATCTGGAACATAGGTCTGGGGTCCATGGAGTCCGTGTCTCTATAATGAATGGGAATAAAGCTTGTGGACTTCTGACCCGTCTCTCATTTTTAGATCTTACTTAGGATTGGATGCATGAGTGACAGTTATAGGAGCTGAACCTTTGGCAGGTTATACCCATGCCTGTGATGCCCTATGGTTCTTCTATTTTCATTAGTAAAGTGCACACCCAATTGCTACCCTTAAGGGAGATCAGCACCAAACTAGAGATTAATTAGAACAATGACATATTTTTTTGGGTTTTAGTGAGGAAATATGCAAGCTAATTAGTGAATGTAGACATGAAGACCTGAGGCACAACTTTACAGCAACTTGCCTGAAGTTTACAAACTAGTGCTAACAGGGGCACAGCTTATTATGTGTTTGTGTTGGGGGCGGCTTCCACTTTGCTTTGTTTACTCTGATACTACTTGTAGAATGTTTGGTTCCTTTCCTTTGAAACATTCAAACAGTTGAAGGGATCTGGTGTCCATGAGTAAGTTTTCAGAATACATAGTAACAATACTTATTTATTTGCAGAAAATTTTTGCCGAGTATAAGCATCCATTCGTGCTCACATATCTTGGGATCTCTCTTATGGTGATTTTCCTACCCATAGCAGTTTTGAAAGATTGGATCTGCAGCTTTCTTGGCACAAATTCACTTAAGAACCTTTGTGATGGCAGCCCTCTCTTAAGCTCTTCAATTGATCTAAATGTTCCTCTTAGACTAAATGATATGTACCAGGTTCCAGAAGGAGAGATGCAAAGCTGCCTAATTGCAGACATAGATCTAAATAAAACAGAAGAGGGGTGGCCATTTATATCTGAGAACCCGGAAGATGAGTTCCACATGCTTGAAGAGAACCATAAACTCAGTTCATGGGAAGTTACCAAATGTGGTTTGTATCTTGCTCCCATATGGTTTGCAACAGAGGTCAGTAATTTTGCACTTCTCTTTTAGAGCCTATGGAAACAAATAAATTTGATTATGTTACCTAGGTACCATAGCGTGTTAAGGTCGGATTTACATCTGAATCACTTTTTTCCTTTTCTCTCTTCTTTGGATTTTCTCCCTTTGGGAAGTATCCTAAGAAAGCTTGTATCCAGTGTACAAGGTTCCACCATGAACCCACTGTATGCGGTTTTTTATTCTTTTTCTTTTTTTTTTTTTTTTGAGAGGGGAAGGGGGTAGTCTCTTGGAGCCTTCCTGTTGCTCATGGAAGGGGATTGAAACTGTTCCTTAAGTAAATTAAGGTGCACTATGTATGCTTCAAAAATTGACATATATGATTATTGACCCATTACCAGCTATTGTTTTGCTCCTTCCAGCCTCTTTCAACTGATAACACATTGTAGTTTCTGTAAATGGTCATAGAGGGATGAAAATAGCTGAAACAATAAGCAACTGATGTCCTTGTTTTGAAAATACAGATTACTCATCTTAGTATCCTCCTGTGATACCAAAAATTGTCACACCCCATCCCGAAAAAGAGATAGGGTGTGGGTAACTTTAATCTGTTAAACCTTTAATCATATTTTAAATCATGATAATTAACCTGTGCAATAATAATTAAGCCATTCACTCAAATAAGAAAACCTAACATTTGCATTGCACAACATTACAACATAAGGCACCATACCCTTAAAATAACATAACAAACTATATACAAAATGACACATGACAGTGTATAAACTGATGGTCGACACCTCTATGCCAAGCTAGACTTTTTAGTGGAACACCTCCTAAATACAAGAATCTAAAAACAAAAAACTGTTGGGGGTGAGCAAACCACACGCTCGGTGAGTATATTCGAGACATATAGAAAGAAAATATATCAACATAGAACAGTTATAAATAAGTCCCACATAATCAAAGTGAAAGCCAATATTGGACTATCCAACAATGCCCGGAAGTCTCAGCAAGAATTAACGACTACCCGTTTTCGGCTAGGAGTCTTGATAATTACATCGCTATTGTTTATGCCCAGGAGCCTCGGCAATCACATTGCTACCCGTTTATGTTTGTGAGTCTTGTTATCCAATAATATCAGAAAAACATATAATCATCTAATCCAAAACTTGAACTCTTGACCAATCACAAATTCACAAATTTATAATCCACTAAATCACATTCCAGCTATTCCCAACCCAAAATCACTTTCCCTACGAAAGCTTAGGTGAGATCAGTGTCGATGTTGTCGCCTCCGAACGTAAAACATACGTTGTCACAAGACACATAAGTATTCTATCATGTATACACATGCATGAATGAGTAATCATGATTGAAACAACACATTCCCAATCCCTTATCTAATTAATAAAGTGTAAATAAATCCTTAGGTTTAGTTATGTATTTGTAGGTAAATAAAATCAATTAGGATTGATTTGAACCCATTAGGATGTTTCAAAAAGATTTGAAATTGAGTGGATGGTGAACCTGAAGCAACATAGAAAAATGGATAAAAAACATGTTTGTATCGGTTCATCGCAAAATAGAGGGCCTTGTACCGGTACAATCTCTTTGTACCGGTTCATCTTTTAACATAACCATTTTGTACTGGTTCTTTTGATGTTAAACCGGTTCATTCCTGGCTAGAAAACCGTTGTACCGGTACAACACCACTTTGTACCGGTTCTTTACTATTTTTTGCCTACGTTTTGGTTCCAGTTTTTCTTTCAACCACATCTTTCATATCCCACAACTCTCAAATACATATGTATCAATTATACTATTGAATTACTTGGAAATTCTTAGCTAATATCAAACCCAATAACTCATCTTCATAAACCAAAATCAAAACTACACCTAATTAGTAAAAGCAATGAACTTACCTATAAAAAGTACCTTTCGATTCAAACCCACCGAAAACCTAAAGTGCATATCCCAATTAAGTTCCGTGGTACACTAGTCTAAGCAAACAATAAACCCTCACCTTAGTTTGTGTTGGAGATATTGCAGCTTAGTTTATTAAGATTTATTATAGTTTTCTTTTTTTACCTTTTTAACCTTATTATATTTTTCATTGGCTATATATATGGGGCTCTACACTTAGTTTGTATTCCTTTTCTTTCTTCTAAATATTTCAAGTTGGTATTAGAGCCAGACCTAACCTTACCCCAAACCCTAACCTTCTCCCTAACCTAGCCTCCATCGAGACTGCCTCACCGGCAAATTGTCTTCAAGCAAAACTAGCCACTACCGAAACCACTCTGGCTATCAGCTGCCCTGCGAAACCGACCAAACATCGACTGCCCATACCATCTACATAGATTGCCTAGGCCACACCATAACCCAGATCACCAACTGCCAATAACCCAAATCATCGACTGCCCATACCATCTACACCGACTGCCCAAGCCACACCAATCTAGGTTAATCCTTCACAGCAACCTCAAGAAGCCACCGACTGCCCACACCTATACCCCAGCAGAACTGAAACTTCATCTCAGTAGCATCAACTACCTACTAATATCACTACTACCAATCCAACCACTACACCGACAAACCAACAAACCACCTTATATATTTAGCCCTCACAACCACCCAGCCAAACCAATCCAAGCAAGCAAACATTAAACCCACACTGACACTTGGACAATGCACACCGACATATACTCTTCCCTCAATCCGACCAAGCACTGACATAAACACCAACCAAACCTAACCCGTTAACCTTTTAGCTAAACCAGTAGACCCACAAGCCCAAAATCGTCTGCCAAAGTGCTAGCCTACTGCCGGGTCACTGCCCAGCCCATTGTCGGGTCCCGTTTTTTGCTGTAGTTTTGTCCTTCACACTTTTTGTTACAGTGCTTCAAGGCTATAGTATTTAGAACTTTTTTAGGAGGGAGCGGATTCTCTTCTCCGTTGATCTGCTCTTGATGTAGTAGATCATATTTATTAGATTTTTGGGCACCGTGATCTGATTATTTGGGAGTTTTTTGGATCTTTTTTATCTATCACTATTGTTCGATTGGAGGTATATTATTCTCCCTTATTTTGTCCTTCTATTCTCTCTATTTATTTTAGAACTTTTTTTTTTGTCACGGATGCCCACGTATTGTTATTGTTACGACTACTACTGAGGGATTTGAGACCTCTACTCTTGAGGCCTCTGTTGTTAGTACTTCCACCTGGAATGTACCTTCTCGTTCTCGTCGGTGTGATTATTGTAGCCGATCAGGCCATCTCCAGGCTACTTGCTGGAAGTTCTATCCGGAGTTTAAGCCGCCTCCTCGCAGCCGTACTACTGCTGTTGTTGAGGTACCACCACCTACTGTCGCTGTTCTTGCTGTTGCTCCTCCTTGGCAGAGTGATATGGATACCATTATTTTCCGATTGGATATATTTATGTCTGCCCTGACTTCTTAGGGTATACCTTGTGCCTTTCATGCTTGCACCAGTCCGTCTCCTCTTTGGATGTTAGACTCGGGTGCAAATGGTCATATGACTGGTGAGATCCATCACTTCATCACTTTTGACGAGTAGTTATATACACATGTTCAGCTAGTAGATGGGACATATGCCTCTATTGTTGGTAAGGGTACAGTCCACCTTCTAGATGGCTTTACATTACATTCAGTTTTTCATGCGCCAAAACTGACCATGAATCTATTATCCGTACATCAGTTAGCTAGAGATTTTCATTGTGCAATTGTGTTTTTATTTGATTCGTATTATTTATAGGACATGAGTATCAAGAGGATTATTATTAAGGGACACGAGAGAGATAAATTGTATTATCTAAGAGATCCACCTCTAGTTTTACCAGTTGCTACCTCCATCACCTGCACCTGCTTTGTCTTTATCTATTCCTAGCTTATATACTAGTATCTTGCCTAATACTTGTCGTTATGATTTTTTATCACAAATTGTTCAGTTGTGATATGATCATTTTGGATATACAAATTTTTAATATTTATGTATGCTATTTTCTACTTTAAGCAATGCTTGTGTTGGTGGTAAACTTGATTGTGTTATATGTTCCCTGTTGAAACATGTTCGGACCAGTTATATTCCTCGCATGCACTAGTCATCTAAGCCATTTGAACTAATACACTCTGATTTTGGGGACCCTCTCCAGTCACTACTTTGTTAGGTGCTCCATACTATGTGATATTTATAAATGACCATATCCGTTGTACTTGGGTCTATCTTTTGCATAGAAATTCTGATGTATTCCCTGTCATCACACAATTTCTCTAGATGTTTAAGACACAATTCGATGTTATTGTTCGTGCTCTTCATTTGGATAATGCCAAAGAATATGTGTCCGATGCCTTAGTGTTTCACCTTTTCTCTCAAGATATCCTGCAGCAGCTCACTTGTGCATATACTCCTGAGCAAAATAGAATTGCTAAAAGGAAAAATAGGAGTTTAATAGGGATGGTACGTTGTATGCTTAGAGGTATGGGGGTACTAAAATCTTATTGGCATTTTGTTATTTTGACTTCTATCTTTTTGTGTAATCGTACACCGAGTCGTGTTCTTCAGCATAGGGCTCCTTCACAGGTCTTATTTCCTGAGCGGACACTTTTTTTGATCCCCCCTCGTGTTTTTGGCTGCATATATTTTGTTCAAGATCGGTCTCTTACTCGCTATAAGTTTGATGATAAAGCAATTGGTTGTGTCTTTGTGGGTTATTATCATTAGTCTAAGGGGTATCGGTGTTATGATCCTATTAGGCGTCGTATGTAGCACAGTCTAGATGTTACTTTTTTTGAGCACATTCCTTATTTTTCTTCCAGTCCTGTGTCTGCCCCTCTGGTTGATGATAATTCCTTTGATTTTCCGTTATCGCAGGAGCCAGAGCCATTGGTCACTATTAGTACAGAGTCATCAGTTTCTCCTTCTCCAGGGCCACTTATCTCTGTCAGTACAGAGTCACCAGTCTCTCTTCCTTTATAGGTTTATGTTCGTCGCCCTCGCTCTCATCCCCCTGTTGATATCCCTTCTACCTCAGGTGATGTCGGTAATACTTCTCAGTTCGTTGAGCATATTGATGCACCTGTTGTTAGTACTGATGAGATTGCAGGTATTGGGTCAGTTACTTTTTCTGATGAGACATTGTCAATAGAGGATGATGATTTAGGGTGTCGTTATTTGCATCGTGATCGTCGTCCAGTTGTTCGTTATGGTTGGACTATCAGGACTTTATATCCGATCTCTGCTTATATGTCTTATGGTGATTTGTCTCCTATATTTCGAGCTTATAGTATGGCCTTATCAGATATGCCGGTTCCTCGCTCTGTTTCAGAGACTATGAGGGAGTCCAGTGGATTCTTGGCATGCAGACGAAGATGGACGCTCTTCAGCGTAATCATACGTGGGATTTTGTCTCTTTACCTTCAGTGGTGAA